ACCTATTGAGTTAATAGCCAACAAACATTGGCGAATCAAGGGGTCTAGCCGGCCTACGCCGCCTGGTACCTCTACTTCTCAAACAAAAGTGACGGCGACTGAGTAACTCCAAAGTTAACTCATAGTCACTCCTTCAAATTTGGTATGGAATCCAAAAAGTTTGAGTCGTCCGCCTGTTTTAAACAAACAAGGGCACTCGAACCCTTATTCCTACTGGATAACCTATTGAGTTAATAGCCAACAGACATTGGTGAATCAAGGGGTCTAGCCGGCCTACGCCGCCTGATACCTCTACTACTCAATCAAGATTGTGACAAAGACTAAGTAACTCCTATGTTAACTTAATAGTCACTCAAACTTAGCATGGAGCCTAAAAGGTATGAGTCGTCCACTTGTTTTTAATAAACAAAGGCTCTCAACCAATACTCTTGCTAGGTTAACAAATAACAAATTAAAGGCCAACATTGGCAATAAAGGGAAACAACCGGTACCCACCGCTTGTTTTCCTACTTAATTCCTTGGCTACTAGGTAATTCTATTTACTTGGTCAAATTGAATAAAGAGTTCGAATGCCGATTGATTAAATGGCCGACTGATCATCTATCCTGGAAACAGACAACCAGTCGTCCAGGGGCATAGGCGGCATACTTACTATTTGTACCTGTCTTAACGTTCGGCCATACACAACAGTCGGTCAAGTGAGCAAATTTCAAATACTTAGACAAATTTGAACAAAAACAAAAAATTTGATTAAAATGAGCCGGCCATAAAAGACCAGCAGAATATTCAAAACCCCGGCCCCCTGGCCGGGTAATTACAAAGCAAACGGCACGCAGGCCGTGAAAAAAAAAAAAAAAAAAATACTTAAAGCTTAAGAAGGGGGCAGTTCAGTATCAGCAGCAGCCGCCTGGTCAGCACTCTTCCTGCTGGACTCGGCCTTAGCTGCACCATCTTTTGATGCCTTACCCCCAAGTGGCACAAGCGCCACAACCGGCTCTTCCTCCTCCAACGCAACGTCCAACGCCTCTTCTTCAGCAGCCGCCAGGATCTGTTGATTATATATTTCCGAACACTGGCGGTACGTTCTTTCCCATGAGGCAAAGTCGGCACTGGGGAACAGTCGTTCCCAGGTCATGCGTTGGATTTGGGCGGAGTCTTCCACCATCTCCCGGACGAGCTCTTGTTTCTCTTGCTCGGCCTTGTCCGAGAGCTCTTGGGTAAGACTCTTCTCCTGGTTCACCAGGCGTTCTTTTACGTTAGCCAAAGATTTCTCCATGGCTTCGTAAGAGTGCATTTTTTGGCGAAGGGGTTTCAGCTCGGCTTTAAGGTTGGTGACGGTCCCCTCCAGCTCGTCAACCTTCTTTTGGGCCGCCTCTAGCTGAGCCCGAACAGCGGCGGTCGCCTGCGCCTGATAATAAAGAAGATCAATGGTCAGTACTTCATTTTGGGCAATTTGAAACATTGCCTTATCACAGCTGGAGGCGGCCATAGCCTTTGCGGCCTTTACCTCTTTGTTTTTCCGATCAATCGGCTTGCGAAGGCTGTTGACTCGGAGCAGGGCCTAAGTACAAAGAAAAACAGGCGTCAGTTTCCAATCAAAAGAGTTAACAGGCGTCCTGGAACTCAAAAGCTCAAAAAGGTGCTAGGTATACCTCAGCTAGGACCCCTGAAATTCCATCAAGGTCAAGGGTGCCGGCACCCTTGACCGCCTCCCTGTCAGATGGAGGAACTACTTTAACCATTGACTTGGCTACCTCAACCAAGTCAAGTCCCTGGGGGCCGGCTGCATTAAGCGAAAGGAAAAAACAAGTTAGACCTAATCAAGAAGGAAGCAAGGGTGAGTTTTTACAAGCAAATGTCCATACATCTAGGCGGCCCCGCCTGGGTTTTTGAAGAAGTGGCCGGCTGCTTCTCAGCCGCCACTGTTTTCCTGGAAGACCCAGGAGAGCTTGCAACAGTCGTCCTCCGGGCCTTGGGGTCCGGCTGTTGCGAGGAAGAAGCCCTTGGAGTGCCAGACTGAAAACAAAAAGAGTTAGTATATGCATAAGACAACTAAAAGGAGAAGAGTTTTCAAAGCTTACCAAGGGTGCCTCCTTGCTGGGGGAGTCGGCATACGACTGCTTCATTAGCGAGACCCGCAGCATGGCCGCCGCAGTCTTAGATGCTGTTATTTTACTCATGGCGTCGGCTGAAAGAAATAAACAGCAAAGTTAGTAAAAATCCCAAGTAAACAAGGCGTGAAAAAACAGAGTATTCGTCAGGCCGGCTACCTCTAGAGCACCGACTGCCGAGGCCACAGGCGGCCAAGAAGTACTCGTCATAGAGCCACTTGAAGCTCGGGACGCAGTTTAGGGGTACTTGCTCTCGTACCCCTGAAGTAGAGTTCACCCTAGTCTCTACTTTGAAGAGTCCTTTGTCTAGGATCTCTTTTTTAGCCTTTGGGGGAACAGGCGGCATGCTGCGGCCGCCTGCGAGAAGAGGCGGATCCCTGTTCCACTTGTTAAAACGTTTGTTCAGCTCCGTGTCTGAACTCTCGATAATAAGGAAGGTGTTCCGCCAATCCTTCCATTTGTTTGCCTTACCTCTCGTCATGAGGTAACCCCTATGGCTTGTTAATTGATACCAGCCGGTACCTCCCGACTTAGGGGTCCGGCTGAGATAGTTCATGTGGGCGAAAGCCTCAAAACTTGGCTCCACCCCGTTCAGTTCGCACCCGGCCACATAGCCGAGTACGTTAACCCAAGAGTTGGGGGCTAACTGCCATAACCCCAGATCATACCCATCTAAAATCCGCTGAACAGCCGGATGTAATGGGAAGCGCAGTCCAGCTTTGATGGCCGCCACATAGCAGCCAAAGCAGCCGTCACCATAGCTGGTACCAGCCGGCCAGACGACAGTATCTTCTGGATCCGGCACAAACAGTAAATACTCTGAGCCCATTTTATGGTTAGCAATAAAGCTCGCCACGTTGTCTCGCATGGTTGCAATCCGGCCCCGGGGCACCCTGCAGTAGTAGGGGGCGTTTTCCTCTCTGTAAGAGGCGGACGGCTCTGCCCAATTATCCCCCTTCTCCACTGCATGAGAACTTCTCGCCTCTTGTAGGCGGCTATGTTTTTCTTCTGAGCCAGAAGAACTATGGTCAGAAGAGCTGGATTCGGACTCGTCCCCTGACGAGTCCGAAGAGGACGACTCCTCCCCTCTCCTAGAGGGGCCCGCCTCCTCTCCCTTAGAAGGAGCAGAAGGAAAATTAGACATGTCCACGGTAAGATGGGAAGGGAACACCTTGGTCCCTCTCTCAGAACTGTCAGCTTGACAGTCGCCTCGTTCTACATCTGGCGCCTGGTCAGATGTTTCACTAAGGAGCACCCTTTGGGAGGAGCCGTCTGAGTTTGATATCATAGCAGTCTTTTTTGTTCTGGCCATCACGTTCTGCATAGACACAGATACAGTCGGACTTTGTATAAAGGGCAAAGATGGGTCCAGAAAAGGGCAGGCGGCACTCCTAGTCCTAGATTCAGCCGTCCCCGGTGACCGGCTGATCACTAACTTAGGGCGTGTCGTGTGCTTCCATGGTGCCATTTCAAAAAATAAAAAGAAAATTAAGAGTAAGAGAACTGAGTTACCTGAACGGGTGACGGTTGATGAAGTCCTGAAAGTTCGGGTCAGTCGGCTTGTCAGAACAGGCGGTAGGCAGAAAAAGTCCGAAATGTCAGAGCAAGTTCAGGGGTCCGAATGTTCTCGCAAAAGTTCTCAAATGTGAAAATGACCGAAGTCAGCACTTCCTTTTATAGGCAAAATGAGAAGGCGAAGGGTCGCTTCCAAATTCAAAAATTGGGCGGGAAAATCTCTCGGCCGTCTGCAAGGTGACACCTGTAACGGGCCGTCGCCTGTCACCGTGCGACACCTGTCACAGGCGACACGTGACCAGTCGCGTGCCACCTGTGAGGGGCAAATGATTAGGGGATTTTTATCCACCAATCACCGTCTGACAAGTGGACCAACCAGGTTCCGCCACGTGTTCTTCACGAAGGCCAACAGGAACCTGCCACGTGTCGATCACAGATACGTCCTCCACGGACCACTTAAGACACGCCACGTGTCCACCCATGCCAAATGGGACAACCGGCCATCAAGGCCCAATTCAGTCTAGAGGCCCGATCAGCCCTAGGTTTACCTTAAACCTAGAGAGTTGCACGCTTCCCAAGGCTATAAATACTCGATTAATCCTCATTAATCAGGGGACCGAATAATTAAGAGATCAAGCAGAGAAGAACAGAGTTATTGACAACCGGCTAATCTCGCTAACAACGCAGATTACCAACACTAAGCACTCTCATCTAGAGAGATCTGATTACTTTAATTTCTGTATTGATTACTCCTTAATCAGGTACTAACTTGACCGTTGGAGGCGGAGCTCTCAGGAGTCTCCATTATTTTGCAGGTACAGGCGTCCGGTTCCAGTCTCGGAATTGTAACTCTCCCGCAGGACATCAGAAAACCCCGAAACAAAAAGCATTGTTAAATTTGCACTGATTGCCCTATCTCATGTTTAGTATACACATGAATTGCCTTATACTCCAACAACATAGAGTGGAAAGGATCACAACTCTTGTTATCAAACCCCAAATATCTTATCCCAGTTTTGAAATCTTTTCTAGGGTCTAAAAAATGCACTTTACAATATTATTGTAACCTAAACTATCTACTATTTTTTTGACATATTTTGCATCAATAGAATCTGGTATATCTTCAAATATACTAACTTTGCCCCCTGTGTATATGATTTCCTCATCAACCACCCATTCAACTCCATGATGAACAATCACACAAGGTTTCAAATCCAATTCTGTCAACAGAGAATATTTCACCATTTCAACAACATTTTATTTGCATTAATATGTTTAACATTTTAACCATTCAACTAAATCATATGAAATAATTGCAAACACATAACATATGACAGGCAAATAGAGTATCTGATCAATTACAAGAGGAATAATTTCAAGCATAATAATTTACTTCATTCATATAACACATATAATAATTAATAACATAATTGTTAAAAAAGGTAAGATTGATCCTACCAGCTTACCAAAAACCTCACCTACTATACTCACTATCATGGGAGTGACAAGTCCAAAAACCTACCAACCTTGTCACAACTACCTACTTTTCATGACCGTAAGGCCTAAATAAGTACATCTTAAAATAATTTAAAACTTCATATAAAGCATAAACAAGCAGCATAAACACCAAAAAAAAGCCTAACTATGTTGTATCAACTGCCTTGCACCTACTGTCGTGCGTCCTTATGGCATCTCCTCTCCATACAACAAAGGAAAACCGTTGAAGTAGGCATTCATATCCTTGTTAAGCCATGCACAGAGGTCACGACCATTGTTGTACAACACATCCTTGAGGACCCATTCTTGAATTGCTGCCCTAGGACCACATCCTCTATTTCTTGCAGGTTTGCTCGATGTCAGTCTTCCCAAGGTAGTCCACCTTAGGGAAAATGTGGGTGACCAGAACTTTGTGTTGGCTCATCAGTGGGTGGGCATCAGAAAGAGTGTCCACACCTAGGTAAGGTCAACAACTCCATCAGAAATATTTGTGAAATGGGTACAAAATTACAAACTAAACACTAAACACTAACTGTTGGTTTAACTAACAAAATAATTATCATATAATCCAAGTATTTTTAATTATTCAACTAAGCATAGCAACCTAAAACCACTTTCATCATCGCAAAAAGCCACTTTGAACATCATAAAATAAGCCAAAAAATACTCCACTTTTAGCAAAATAAGACAACCTTTCACTTTTCATGTGAAACACAACAGACCTTTTGTAGTAAAGCAAAAAAACTGTAAAGAAACCCAACTTTACCTAGAAAAAACCAACTTCATTAAATTTACTCAAATCGACAAAAATAGAGAATGCACCTTCAGCAAAAGTCAATTTGGCTGCTTTGCTAGCGTATCCTTCAACAAGGTTGCAATTAGGCCACATGAAAATTAATGGCGAGCTCTGTTTCTTCTCTTACTCAATTTTATTTATTTATTTTTTTTATGAAAATTCTACATCATAATCCTCTAGTTTTGCATTTTCTACGTTGTGTCTTATATTTTTGAAAGTTACACATTATAACCTTCAGATGTAATTAGTAACCATGAAGTGACCTTTTCGTTATCCCGTCGTTAACAAATTTCGTTATTGTTTTAATCACCATTAGTAGGACCCACACTCCACTAATTAATATTTTTGTCACTTTGCGTGTGAATAATGTTTTGTATTGTTAAAGGTTTTGGTGGCCATTTTGGTCCTTTTGGAACCAAATTGATCTTAAATTTGACAAAAATAACGTAAACGTCTCGTTTTGTGTATTAATAGATGTCTTGATTTGTGTGTCATTGTTTTTTAGTAGTGGAAATTGTTCAGGTAAGGTATCAAAGTTTGTTTAATAGTTCCAAATTAAGTTCAATTTTTTTTTAAAAAAAGTAATGTCTAATGTCTCATAAAGCGTGTTAAGAAATAATGCAATTGACATGTAAAACGAGACAATTACATTATTTTTTTGTCGATTTTGAGCTCAATTTGATTCTTAAAGAACTAAAATGACTTTAATACTTAGTTGAACAATTTTTCGGCTAAAAAAATAGTAACACGTAAATCGAGATATTTTTAATATGCAAAACGAGACATTTACGTTATTTTTTCGCAAATTTAAGCTCAATTTGGAACCAGAAGGCCTAAACGGTCTGTAAATCTCAACTAAACATTTTTCATCACGTAAATCGATAAAAAATATTAATTAGTGGAGAGTAGGCTCCACTAACGCTGATTAAAACAACATAACGGAATTTATTAACGGCGTGATCACGATCGCCATATGATTACTAATTATACCTGGGAGTTACAATGCGTAACTTTTAAACAAAATAAGCACAAAATTAGAAAACGCAAAATTAGAGGACTGTAATAGAGAAATTCTGTTTTTTTTTTTTCTTTTTCTTTTTTGAGTTGTGTAAATGATGAAGTACAAGTGATGAAGTTCAAGCCAGCTGAGAGTGAATCCTGATCATTGGTTTTCCCGCGCTATTTGCTCTGTTTTGGGAGAAGTGAAGCCTCAGGTGAAACAGTTGTATTCGTATTACTTTTTTTTTTTTTATTAAAAAAAATTCACTTGCTAGTTACCGCTTGTAGCAAGTAAACCACCGGAAAAGTACACTCAGGCCGGCTACAGTACAAAATTTGCGTGCCGAATTCGCAGCAATCTTCAAAGTTAGAGAGAGAAAATGGCGGAAGAAGCAGGACATTCCCAGAGAAATGAACGACGCGTAGGGTTAGTCTACGATGAACGAATGTGCAAGCATGCTACTCCTGATGGTGCTGATCATCCTGAATGTCCTGATCGAATTAGGGTTATCTGGAACAAACTTTGCAATTCCGGTTTCACTGATAGGTTTTCTTTTTTTCCCTTTTTTTCTATTTTTATTTGTTTGCTAATTTTGCTGAATTTTGTTGTTTTTATGTGGTAATTATGTCAAGTAATTGTTTTGTGTGAAAGTTGTGCAATTGAAGTAGAATTTATCGTTTTTATTGGGGTTTGATGATGAGTTTGTTTATGAATTTTCTGTGATGAATTTAGTGTTATGAATTATGTAATGTGGGTGGTGGTTGAAGCAATTCGGAATTACTAGTAGAAGAACAAGGGGATTTATGTATTGTTAAATGGAAGAAGTTTTGATTGTAGGGTTTGGATTTGGTGGTGTAGGGACTATGGTATGCTTAGTAAATGTATAATCTTTTGTGAGGGTCTTCATGATTAGGTCTTTTTATTTAGAATTGCTAGTAAAATGAGAGTGAATTTGAGGAATAACAAAGAAGTTTTGATTGTAAGATGTTATTTTTAGTAAATGTAGTATCTTTTGTGTGGGTTTTCGTGATTTGGTCATTTAATTTTGTTCTTTAAGTGGAAGCATTTGGTCTGAATTAGTAACGAGAGCCCCTATAAATTGGCCTTGGTAATGTATTGTGGGACGAGGTTTGTGTACGGTCTAGTATGTGTCACTATTGAAGTTCAGGTTGTTATTGTCTTTTAAATTTCGTTGGTAAGGTGGTGTGTACTTTATATGGAGTTTGCTGGACTGAAGGAGAATGAACTATCCATAGCTTATGTAGGCTGTTGACATGTGCAGTTTTAGAGAATGGTTAACCACATACTTTGAAGACATGCAAAAGAGTGCACCTATTGCATCTAACTTTTATGAACAACCATTGTGTTGGAACTTGGTATTAAGTAAATGATAAATTCCACAAGTTTGTATGGAAAGCAATAACAGCAAGAAAGTGCTATGTTGTACATTCTCCATTCTTGAAGAATAGGCCAAATTAGATTAAAGATCAGGAATTGAGTTAATATACCACATCTATTTCTGCTTTTAAATTTTTCTTTCACTATAACAAGTATATTTCCTTTGAAAATCTCAGTTAAGGGTAACTTCAAGAATAATATAAGAAAGTTCAAATGTTAACTCTCTAAACTTTGAATGTTAACTATAATCTAGGGATAAGCACAGAGGAAGTGTTTGCTGATGTAGACTTGTCACTCTTGTGCAAATTCGCAGCCTCTTTGTGGTCCTATGGGGGTTGCTTGAAAATGAAAACAGTGTTTATGTAAATTTGTACAAACTCAGTATTATTTTTTCATGAGTACCTTATATAGTTTTGATTACCATTGTACTTCAACTATTGAATGTGTACTCTAAAGTTTTATATTTTGCTTTCTCTTTTTTCAGGTGTGTTGTTCTTGATGGTAAGGAAGCAGAAGATAAATACATAAAATCTGTTCACTCCAAAACACATCTTGAACTGATTCGCAAAATCAGTTCGAAGCGGTTCGATTCTCAAAGAGATGGAATTGCTTCTCAATATAATTCCATTTACTTCAACAAAGGTTCGTCTCAAGCTGCTTATCTAGCAGCAGGGGCTGTTATAGAGGTAATAAGTTCAGCACAATACTGAGCTACTACAATTAATGGCTGTCCTTGATTGTTATGATACACTGTCCACTGTTAAAGTTTGGTTAATCACTTATCCTAAAGATCTATCCTTATAATAGAATTATGAAGGAATTGGATACTGTGACCAGATTGGCATAGTTTAAATCTATAAATGTTAAAAGGGTGTTTAAAATTAGTTAGCTAACTTAATAGACAAGTAAATAGAAATAATAATGATACTACATCCAATCTCGTAAGTTTTTTATGGTTACTACTTGCTCACAAATTAAGGTTAATGCAGAAAGAGTTTTTGATGTAGTGAGTAGGTGTAAGAAAAAAGTGGAAAAGGTAAGAGAGAGTGAGTGGAAAGGAGTAAATATTGTGGGGGTAAGGTAGTATATAGGGTTGCCAAAAATAGAATAAAATAAAGTGTAAAGTACTTCAAGAATGAATTAAAATGGAAAGCATAATTGAATAAAGAGCATACAAGTTTGGAGGTAGTAAGAAACATCAGTCTTTTGACCTCCTTGTGCCAGACCTCCCATTCACTATCTTCATCCTTTCCACAATCTCACAATTAGTCAAACCGTCTTAACTTTCATCTAGCTGCCGCCACCATACCCCTCCCACTCTCGTCTTTTTTGAAGTCATACTTTCTCTATGGCTGCATCTTCTCCTTCCTCTATTTCTCTCTCCTCTTCACACTCTATATTCGACCCTCACCCAATTATTAAATGGAAGAGAATAACATCCCCTAATGAGATAATTCTTAAAGGTTAGTTCCCTGGAAAGTCCTTAGTGTTTACATACTAAGATTAAATCCAAAAAAACCCTGTTTTCAATTTGTTTTTTGGGTATCATAATTAAGCGGGATTGGAATCATAATCTCATAAAAGAATCGCCACTAATATGGAATTTAAACCCTCCAATAATGGGGCAAAATATGCTAAGCATCCACACAAACCTCCTATTACCATCACTTATTCCAGAAGAAAGGCCAAGAGCACATGAGGAATTGCAAGCAGAAGTCATAACAAGGGTCCTATTAAGCTCTTCCTTATTAGCATACTTCCTTGGTTTTTTTTTATAAGTGTAACATGTAGGGAAAGTACTATTTTTTGGAGATGATAAATAGAGGGAAATATAGAAGTGTTCCCATGTGATGAGGAGAAAGAAAGAGAGAAATCATTTCCATAAGTAGTGATGTTGCACTTATTAAAATACGGAGGAAGTATATGTTTCTATTATCATGAATCAAAGTCATAGCATTGAATAGGATTTTCTTGTGACATCTTGTCATTACTTGTCTCTCTAAAAGTGTTGAGAAAAATTACTACATATAAACTTTGGATGTCAAAGATTTGTATTGGACAAAAATGCTAGATCATGGTTCTCTTACAATTGCAAAGCTTTTTTAACTGGGGACCGGGTGTCTTTCTCTTTTTGTATGTATTAATGTTTTTATGAATTAAGTATTTGATGCTATTACAAACAGGCGGCAGAGAAAGTAGCCAAAGGGGAGCTAGATTCTGCTTTTGCGATTGTGAGGCCTCCTGGACATCATGCTGAGGAAAATGAGCCCATGGGTTTTTGTCTGTTCAATAATGTGGCTGTTGCAGCTAGTTATCTGCTGAATGAAAGAGTGAGAATTCTCTGCTCACGCCCCCTCCCGTCAGTTTATTGAAGGACCTGAATTTATTTGTTAATAAAAAAGAAAGAAAAAGAAAATGTTTGTGTTGATTATTGTTTGACTTTATTATTTTTTTCGAATACTTTGTTTCCAGGCAGAATTGGGCATTCACAGAATCTTGATTGTTGATTGGGATGTTCATCATGGCAATGCCACTCAGAAAATGTTTTGGAAGGATTCTCGTGTTCTTTTCTTCTCAGTACACAGGTAAAAATTAGAAAATTAGACTATGTCTATTCATCGAATGGTTATGTAATATTTCTAAGTGTTGCATTTTCTCCGTATGAATTCAAACGATTAGGATACTTATATCCTTAATCTTTTTACTACGTATTTTTATTTATTGACTCGTTATATTTTTAGGCATGACTTTGGATGTTTTTATCCTGGAACCAAGGATGGCGATCTTAGTATGATTGGAGAAGGACCAGGGAAGGGATACAACATTAATGTGCCCTGGGAACAAGGTCGATGTGGTGATCCAGACTATTTTGCTGCTTGGGACCACATATTGATCCCTGTTGCTAAAGAATTCAATCCAGACATGATTATAGTTTCTGCCGGGTTTGATGCAGGTTGATTTAGATGAAATTGGTAGATGGCTTTCATTAATTTCTGTGTGAACTGTGTAGTACCGAAACAGTCCCTAGTTATTAGACCATTGCTGAACAATCAAGCTGTTCATATAGGCCATTTCTGATGCTAACTTTGTTGAGATTTTGACAAATTTATCTATTTTATCTAATAAGGACATCCAGTAATTCTTCTCATTAAAAACTTGTACTCTTTTGTTGTCATAATATGATCTTGAGATGCTTAGACTATAAGCAAATCCATGGAACAGCTTGAGTAGTTGAGTTCCCTTCCATATTTGATGGTTTTGAAATTCGAAAAAATTCTAACAAGTTGTTTGGTACTTTCCGATCTTTTCTTCTATTCTTAAAATGTTGCATTGTCTTTAGCTGGTAGATGTGATTTTGTGATCATTTTTCTAGATTTATATGATTAAGTTTCTCTAGGTATTAAAACACTTTTTTTGCAACAGCTGTTCGTGATCCTCTTGGCGGTTGCTGTATTTCTCCATATGGCTATTCTGTTTTGCTGAGAAAGGTTGGTATCTAAATAATTTTAGGCATATATGCTTGTAAACATGTTTTACATTGTGGACCTTGTGGTACAAATCATTGCCCTTTATGGCATAGTGCCGGTAAGCTTTGTTGTTTACATGTTAATGGTTTGGTATTTGTTAAGTTGAATGTTTTATACAATCTTGGTGAAAGATTTTTCTGCTAAGCTAAGTCCCCAAAATGCCTGTTGGTTAACTGTACTCGACCAACCATGTTAAAGGATGACAAAGCACATTGCTGTCGTCTACAATTTATCTTTGAATTCTTTGTAGGTCCTTTTGCTTACCAAAACTTGGTCTTTTCTTATACTCTGTTTTGTAGTTAATGGATTTTGCCCAGGGTAAAATTTTACTAACTTTGGAAGGCGGGTATAATCTTGAATCTTTGGCAAACTCTGCTCATGCATGTGTGCAAGTATTGTTAGAAGAAAAGCCAATCGATGGATCTTCTGAGGCTTATCCACTTGAATCAACATGGCGCGTCATAGAAAATGTGAGTATATATGTGGATTTTATTATTTATTAATTTTTATATACTGCACCTTGACTTCGAGGGCATATTTTTCAAGCTCGTATTACTATGAAAAGTGCATGTATTATTATAGGTTCGGCAAAAATTGAGTGTGTATTGGCCAAGCCTCGCCAATAAATTACCAAAAAGGCTAACAAGCCAGAAGGCGCTTGCATCTCAGGTGATTCTTTAACTTCATGAATCTTGGCCATAACGAATTTGCTTGTCATTTTTCATTGATCTGTGACCAAAGCCTATATTAAAATCTCCCTCATTTTCTTTTGTTTGTCCTATTTGGAATCTTGAGAGATTATAATCTAATAAAATATAATACTTATCACGATTTTTCTATACTTCAAAATATAATCATATGAGATCTTATTAGATTCATCTTGATTTTTAGTTTCCAAATATGTAATATTCAGACTTTTTTTATGAGCAAGCCTCAGTTTCTCAAATGACATTTTTGCAATTATTTAAACATTCTAGCGGGCCCCTTTGCTGATTGTGTGAGAAGATAGCATGTGATGAGATGACATAAGTTTTTCCTTCGTTATCTCAGTCATCTTCATCCTTCCATCTTCCTTCCTTATTCCTTTCTCATCAACAATGGTATATTCATCCCCAAGTCCCCACCAACAAACAAACACCATCCTCAACACCAATACACCATTAACACCGCAACAAATCCCGACCCCAACACATCGATTCCGGCAGCTTCGCCGCCAAATTTAACGAAAAACCCTAAGAAAATATGTAAATTAAGGGCATGGTAAACCCTAAATGGTAGGTATTTGTCATTATTTGTGAGTGATTTCTTCATTGTTGTAGAAAATTTCGACCTCCATTCGTGAAAGATTCTCAAACTTCATTGTTGAGGAGAGATGGGTATGTTATTTTTGGGTTAACGCTATTAAGCTTCTATTAGTCTAAAAAGACGAAAATACCCAATTGAGAAACATACAAGTTTGTATTTTCTCTTTTTATATTATGTTGCTTGAGATATTATAATTACAATATTGCATTGAAATTGTGCAAAAAGCAAATCGGATGAGGCATTGTAATAGAAGGGATGATGTTGCAATGACAAAACGAGGGAAATGGATGAGGCATTTATTATTAACCTCAATTTTGAGTGAGTGGGGGGGGGGGTTGATTTTTGGGGTGATAATTCCCCTTTCTTCCCTCCTCGCACAACCACCACCTTAACCCATTTACCACTATTATTTACCTTCATTTGTTTATGTATATTTTTCTTCTATTACTACTGATGAGGTTTGGAAGGAGGCTGATGTGTTGTGATGATGTGTAGGTACTGGATGGGAGGCCCAAGGATTTTAAGGAGGCCGAGGAAAGAGTTTAAGAAGCTAAGAACTTTGATGTGCCTTCGACTTCGGCTGGAAACTCCTTCAAGACCTTTCAGTCCTCTGAGATGGGGTTTGAGTCTGCCCCACTATTGGCTGTTCCAGATGCTACGAGGAACGCTCTCCTCTCTCATCGAGCCTCAGCAATTGAGTACTTCGGTGACTTGACTGGCCTCTCCGAATTGGAGAAGGCGAAGGTCTGGTCCCTTTGGGCCGTAGCTGGAGTGTCCGAGCCCTTTGCTAGAGTTCCAGACCCATTTGTTGAGAACCAGAAGTTGCTGACGCAGGTAAACCTGTCTTAATTCGAGCTTTTTTACTTAAATTTTTCACTTAAGTTCTTTCACTCACGGTTTTTTTTTTTTAGCTAATGTACCTTTGTACCTTGCAGGTCGTTTATAACAATGTCATGGCTATGGAAATGAACAAGGAGTTGAAGGTCAAAGCTGAAAAGGCCGCTCTGGTCGAGGCTAAAGCTAAGCAGAGGCAGTCTGAGCTAGTGGCTGAGCTTCGACAACTGAGGGATCGATTGGAAGCCAGAAATGCAGAGTTTTACAAGGCCCAAGTCGAGCTAGAGGGAGTCAAGAGCCAGCTGGTAGTGCAGACTGATGAAGGTGCTAAGGCTCAGACTGAACTTGAGGCTGCCCCAGAAGCTGCTGCAAGTCAGAATCTATACCCAAGATCAGTACAATGAGGGTTTTGAGAATGGCTTTAAGGTAGCTCGGCGCCTGGCCTTTCATGTTGATCCAAGCATCAACTGGGATGTAGCTGAAGAGTGGTCAATGGAACCCGGCCACCCAAATTTGTACGTAGCCCACGATGCTGAGGTTGCTTTCCTCAATCATCTGGCGGAAGCCGAGGCTCGGGATGAGAGGGAAGCTGAAGAAGCCAAAAAGAAAGAACCTCATCCTACTTCTTCCTAATTAGTCGGTGCTGGAGGTTCCAAGGGCCCCAGTGCTGCTGATGATGAAGCATAGGGATTTGGGCAGTCGTCTTCAGAGTCATGCGGATCCACTTGTGATTAACTGCCATTTCTGCCACATTTGCTTTTGCCTTGATTTTTGCTTCAACTTGCCATGAATTGTACAAACTTTATTTTTTGCTTACTTTGTACTTAGTTCGGCAGCTGTGTTTTTCTCTTGTGTGCGGCTAGGGGTGGACTTCGGTCTGACGGTTCGGTTTGACCTCGGTTTGAGTCGGTTTCGGTTTGGAGCGGTTCGGATTGAAACGATTTTATTTAGCTGACAGGTTCGGTTCGGTTTGGGTTAGTCACGGGTTGGTTTGGTTTCAGTTTATTTCTTTACGGTTTAAATTCGGTTTGGGTCATAAGCAGGTCGGTTTATAAACGATTCGGATCATGCCGGTTCGGTTTGATAGGGTCGGTTTAGGGGGCGGGTTTACCCGAGTCGATGTCAGTTCGGTTTACAAACGGTTTGGATCATGCCGGTTTGGTTTGAAATGGGTCGGTTTAGGGTCGGGTTTACCCGGGTCAATGTCGGTTCGGTTTATAAACTGTACGGATCATGCCGGTTCAGTTTGAAATGGGCCAATTTAGGGGCGGGTTTACCCAGTTCAATTGGTTCGGTTTATAAACAGTTCGGTTTATAAGCGGTTTGGGTCATGATTGTTTTAAAGATCGCGTCATGACCATGATTTAATGAGTTGATACTTAGAATACGATAAATCGATAATTAAGAAAGTACAGGTATTCAATTAGATCGATCAACAAGTGTTTTAAACTTTTAAGTTTTAATAATCAGATATGTTTATCGATTATACGTACATACCAATGATTTAATGAGGCAATGATAGTATGATACCAATCGTACATTCGTACCATATATTATTTGTTACATATACAGATACACGTATAATGATATACATAATACATATACATTAACAATATTGTATTGAATCAAATTCAATTTCCAAACATTTGCATTTCTTATAATTTATAAGTTACACGAGATTAAATGGATTAGTTATTTAGTTTGTTACTTTATTTAGATTACTAACTCAAACAGCTTGATAAGCTAAATGGACGAAATCACGAAATCACTAAAGTGGTGATGAAATCATTATGCAGTACTAATGTACAAATATACAATGGTTAGATTTCATTACTTTATTAGTTATTACTTATTAGTTTATTACATATACAGTCACATACTCACAGATATATATACATATAGAGATGTCAGATATTGATATACATTAACTATGTCATATTGAATCAATTTCAATTTTGAAACACTTGCGTTTCTTACAATTTATAAGTAGTAATAATAATAATAATAATAATAATAATAATAATAATAATAATAATAATAATAATAATAATAATAATAATAATAATAATAATAATAATAATAATAATAATAATAATAATACTAGTAGTAGTAGCAGCAGCAGTAGCAGCACCAGCAGTAGTAGTAGTAGCAGCAGCAGCAGCAGTAGCAGCAGCAGTAGCAGTAGTAGTAGCAGCAGCAACAGCAGCAGTAGTAGTAGCAGCAGCAACAGCAGTAGTAGTAGCAGTAGCAGCAGTAGCAGTAGCAGCAGCAGTAGTAGTAATAGTAGTAGTAGTAGTAGCAAATAATAATAATAATAATAATAATAATAATAATAATATATTTATAAAAAAAAAAAAGAAACAGTCAAAAAGACCTCGAAAAGCACAAAAAAATCTGGACCGTTAGATCTAGATGAACATTCTGGATCGTTACTACCACACACAAAAAAAAAAAAAATATGAATGGTGAGATGCTGAGATTGGTTAGATCTAGGGGAACAAGTAAAACCTAAACCTATAAAAAACAAAGTAACCACGCCTCTGAATCCACTCAAAGTCTCAAACGGCTCTCTCTCCTAACTTCCTAAGCTATCTCCCTCTTCATCTGAATCTCTCAAGCTCCCTCTTCATCTGAATCTCCCTCTTCATCATCCCTCTGCCTCTGAATCTGTCGTTGTCTGAACGGTGAACGCCTAAACGGCGAACGGCGACCCTACCATCTTTTTTTTTTTTTTTTAATTTTGTAAGTTTTGTTTTTCATTTATTCTTTTGTAATTTATAATTTAAGCTTTTTTTTTTGGAAGTTCTAATTCTTTTGTTCATTTATTCTTTTGCAATGTATAATTTCTGCATTTTTGGAAGTTCTAATTTTTTTTTTTTTTTTTTTTTTTTTGTAAATCTGTCATATTATCCTGTACTCACAGTTATATAAGGTAATTTTCTTATTCTAAGTTCCGATTTTTTTTCTAAGTTCTGTTTTTTCATTTATTATTTTGTAAATTATAATTTCTGCTTTTTTTTTGAAGTTCTAATTCTTTTGTTCATTTATTCTTTTGCAATGTATAAGTTCTGTTTTTTTTTTTAAGTTTTAATTATTATTATTATTTTTTTTTTGTAGATCTGTCATATTATCCTGTACTCATGGTTATATAAGGTATTTTTCTTATTCTAAGTTCCGATTTTTTTTCTAAGTTCTGTTGTTTATGTAGTTTCTTTTTTATTGTTTATGGGTTTGGTGGTTAGATTTCTAGTTTTTAGGGTTTTAATTTTGTTGGATTTGAAGAAATAGATTGGTTATTTTGCTGGTTTTTGCTAATTTGTTGTTTCAATTGTGTAATTGAACAATGTTGATATTAATCAAATCAGTTCCAACAGTTAATTACATATGATAAATTGCTATTCTTTCAATTAATATGTTTATTCATATTTCCGTTTGCCTTGAAGTTTAAATAACTGGTAACAGATCTGGAACTTTAGAGAAAATGAAGAAGATTGAATTGATTGGTTTTTCTAGTTTCATTTTTGACATATTCTTGATAGATTGTAATTGTTCGGTACTTTATAATTTTGACACAACTTGTGATAGTGTGCTATTTTAGTTTGATAAAGTGGTATTGAAAAAATTGTTGAAAGAATCATAGGGTTTATTTGGTTTGTTGTTGTATGCTTATTTTTTTGTAATAAATAAAAGGGAACCGAAAGTTATTATGATTTATGAATGTTGATGGTTGTATACTTGTATGATTGTATCAGTTGTATACTTGTATGTGTATTGACAAGGTTGCATGCTCAATTGCTCACTATAAGTAGAATCTGTGTCACTTCATTTGATACTTAATACTTATACATGCTGTTTTTTTTTTTTTTGTTTAAGTCATGTCTCACGAGTTTGATGAATTTGACTATGAGAGACAATCAAATGTTGATATTGTAAGCTCTAAAGCTGCCTCTGGCTCGGTTGATGATGCTCATAATACCAGCATTATCACTACTGTTGTTAATAAACGTCAAAGAACCTCAGGTATATGGAAGCATTACACTTATTTTTGTAAAGACGGTAGGTAATGAAAAGGTAGAATATGCTCATTGTAATTTGTGTGGCAAAGAATATAAAGCATCTGGTAAATCAGGTACTTCAACTTGTAGAACTCATATTAATGCATGCTTGCTAAAGCATGGTCTCCAACAAGGTGAAGAATCAGCATTTGATAAAAAAACTTATTTACAAAAGTTTGCTAAATCTATAATCTGCCATGCATATCCTTTAAATATTGTAGAGCATGAATATCTTAGGGAACTTCATGCATATTTGAATCCTAAGGTGCAGCATGTAGCATGATAAATATAAATCCTTGTTGCATGAGTCTTTGGCTAATGTTTCTGGTAGAGTTAGCTTTACATGTGACTTGTGGACTGCATGTACTAACCGAGGCTATCTCACTTTGACTGCTCATTATGTTGATAACAGTTGGTCTCTTAGGTCTAAAATTTTAAATTTTAGATATTGTGGCCCTCCCTATACTGGTGTTGAGGTTGGAAAGTTTGTGTTTAAACTGATCAAAGAGTGGAATCTTCAAGGTAAGGCTTTTTCAATAACTGTTGATAATGCTCGTTCTATGACTGTTATGGTTGAATATTTGAAAAAAGAATTAATGCAATGCTCTCCTCTTCCTTGTAATGGTAAATTCTTTCATGTTCGATGTTCAGCTCATGTTTTAAATCTTATTGTTCAAAGAGGTTTAAAAGAAGTTCATGAAAGTGTTAAAAAATTGCGTGAGGTTGTTAAATATATTGATGCTTCTAATTCTAGATTAACTCAATTTGAGCATGCTTTGTCTGAGTTAGAGTGCGCTTTTAATGGTAAGTTATGTCTCGATGTTGTGACTCGTTGGAATGCCACTTATACAATGCTCCAAAAAGCCTTAGAAGCTAAGGATGCCTTGATTCTATATACTAGTAGGTTTTTGGGTATTTCTTATAGACTTGATGCTGATGAATGGGATACCATTCAAAAAATTTGTGATTTCCTTCAACCATTTAATGATATTACTGTGTTATATTCTGGTACCGAATATCCCACTGCTAATTTGTATTTTGTAAGTGTTTTAAAAATTGAGTACGCTATAACTCAAGCCTATAAAGACCCTAAACTTGCACCCATGGCAGCAGTTATGCTTGAGAAGTTTGAGGGTTATTGAGAGGATTATAGTTTGATTCTTTTTGTTGCTATTGCTCTTGATCCTCGTTATAAGCTGTATCGAGTGAGAAATACGTTGAACTCGTTGTATGATAGTGAGGCATGCGACGAAAAGATTAAGATGATTAAGGAAGCTCTTTATGACCTTTATAAATTTTATTCTGCTGCATTTAATACAAGCTGTAGAAATCCTGCCTCTTCCGACACAACTCAATCTGAAAATGCTAATCGCATGTTGAGTTCTCAAAATATTTTCACGGTAATTATGTTATACAATATTAATGGCAGTCTTTTAATTTTATTTGTAATGTCATAATTTAACTTTTAATAAAAAAAACTGTTTCAGTTGTGTGAGATTGATGATGAGATTGATGACGAATATGGTGATTCAACTAGATGCCCTATGGCTGATCTTGAGTCATATTTTAATGGACCTCGTTCGCGATTAATTCAAGGGGAACATTTTGATGTTCTCAAGTATTGGGAATCTCAAGCTTCTTCTCTTCCTATTTTAGCTAATATAGCAAGGGATGTTTTGGCCATTCCTATTACATCGGTGGCCTCCGAATCTTCTTTTAGTTTGGGTGGTCGTATTTTGAACAAATATAGGGGTAAGGTTTTGCCAAAGAATATTGAGGCATTGGTTACCACCCAAAATTGGTGTCGTGGTTATCAAGGGGATGTTAAGGAAGATGTCCTCCTTGTTGGTAAAGAGATTGAAGCAGAAAGTGCTTCATCTACATAACTGGTATTTGTGCAGCAGTGTTGCCTCACTGTGGCCGTTGTTATATATGTACTTGTTGTTGTTGCCTCACTGTGGTTGTTTTATTCAATCTTGAAAAATTGTTGCCCTTGTCATTTATTTTGAGACTTGCTGGTAACATTGTTCAAGATTTAAGTTAAAATCATTGCTCTTGTCATTTATGTTGAGACTTCAATGTATTTTGGTACTTGTTGGCA